CCCGCTACAAATACTACTATCGCTCTGGCCCTAATGATTCTTTTAGCACAGGCTTGCTTTAGAACTAGAAGGGCCGTACCACCCTCTAATGCACTCTGAAGTATGTTGCTCAGTGCCTGGCACACACAAAGAGCTCAGCAGCTGTGAGCACGGGGGAGAGAGACAGACTGGAGTGTGAGAGGACCTGCTCACCCTCAACATGAGGCCCCTTACCCCCAGCCTTGAGACCAGAGGATGCGGCAACTTTCTTCGCTGGGAAAGTGTTGTGGGGTTCCAGCGTTCGGGGGTTTTCAGAGTCAACCGTCAGAGGCGAGGGAGTTTCTCCGCTGCTGGTGGCTGCGGTCTGCAAGGAGACGGCCGCTGGGGTGTATTTTCACCTGAGCCTGCAGGAAGTGGGGAAGGGAGGGAGGGGCGGAGGGGCAGCCCAGCCAGGCCCAGGCTAGACTTAGGAGCAGAGGGGACTTGGCTTAGAAGTGGCCCCTCTCCCCGCTCTGGGCCCCGCCCTCGGATCCTGCCTGACTCCAGGCTGCTCCCCTAAAGAGGGCACCCAGAGGCAGGAACTTGCGCTGTGGGCTCAGAAGCATGAGGAGCACTTTGGGGAGCAGAGCGGGGACGACAGCAGACACGGGGCTGTGGGCTGGGGGCTGGGCTGGGGGGCAGGACGAAGGGCTCGCGGAGCGGCCCGAGCAAACCAGGATGCCGCAGAGCCTGTCCCTGCTTTGCACAGCTCACGGCACCAAGCCCCGCGCTTGGGACTGCCTTCAGAGGTAAGGAAGAGAAGGGGGGACACCTGCGAGGCTCTGGGCCAGCTGGGGACAGTGAGGAGTGGAGGAAAGCTCCAGTCCGGCCCCAGGCAGCCCCACCTGGCTGTCGCCTGTGTGCTGGGGCTGTGGAGCGGGACGTTCCACTGGCTGCTACCGGGGACCTGGGCCAGACAGCGCCCCCCCCCACCCCGCCCCTGCTCCCACCAACAGGAGAGGGAGCTGGGGTGAGGCCGAAGGCAGTCTGCGTGGGCATGGAAAGGGCACAGGCCCGCAGCCATCCTCAGCTGCCAGCAGGCCCTGCTCCGCCTCCCGCACCTCAGCTGTGGCTGTGCCATAGACTCCATTTACTGAGGCTTTCCCCAGCTCCCAGTGAAGGCGGCGGGACAGAAGAGGGGCTGCTGGCAGCTCCTGTGCTCCCCTCTCCCTCCCTCTCTCTCTTTCTTCCCTTCCTCCCCTTCTCTCTCTCCTTCTTTCTCTCCTCTCACATTCCCTCCCCACTTCCTCTCAACCCTCCCTCCCGCCCTCCCGCCCTCATCTGTCTCTCCCCTCTGTATCTCTCCTCTCTCTCTCTCTCACACACATCTCCACACACACACACACACACACACACACACACACACACACACTTTCTCTGTCTCTCCTCTTTTTTCTCCTCTGTCTCTTTCTCTCTGTATTCTCACACACATACACGGATGTATAGGCTCTGCTGGGCCCATGCTTCACCATCATGGTCAGGGTGGATCGAGCGCTCCCCATTAGTGCAGTGGGCTCTTCCCAGGAAGGAGGATGGGGAGGGTTTGAGTGGACACTCAGTAGTCCCTGCTCTACTGCCAAGGCTGCCCACAGTAAGACCCGGACAGGTTTACTGTGCTGAGCTGTGGGCCAAAGCCAGAGCTGACCGGCATGGCTTTCCACAGCTGCAGCTCCGACAGGGCCCTACTCACGAGGGAGCTGCAGGAGGTTTGTTCCACCCACTGGGCCTGCGCTCCAGGCTTTTGCACCCTTAGGTGGTGACCAGGTACCTGAGGACGTGGCCCCGAGGCTCTGAGGCCAGTTTCCTGCCCATAGGTCTGGTCCGGGCTGTGCTGTCTGGCTCCCACTGGCCTGGAACGCATCGGGCACCCAGGCCACCTCCACCGTCGCAGGCCTTCTGCCTTTAACCCCCAGCTCATGGGTGTGGTAGAATTTCTGCGTCTATAGCTGAGTGCTTTATTTGACTGGGGACATCCCCACCCAGGGTCCTACAGTGAAAAGGCCAGTGAGAGGGTCAGGCTTCCAGGCGGCTTCGCGGCAGGGCAGATGGCAGAACCATCGCACGAGGCGCAGGGAGATGTCCTAGGCTGATTCCCTGCCTGCGCCACTGGGAGTCGCCCCCAAGCAATGCCGGGTGTCCCCCAAACAAGCAAAATTAATCCTGCAACTGCATCAGCTCAGGAAGCCCTGGGCCTGCCGTGGGAGAGCGATCCGGGTGCCTGCTCTCAGAGTGGCACGAGCTGATGGCGAGTGACGGATGCTGAGTGGGGTTGCCTGAGAGGGTAGGAGGCTGCTGCTGTCACCCAGAGGAAGGGACAGTGGGTGGCACCGGGCTGGGGGACAGAAGGGAGAACTGGTTTGATTTTAAACAGGTCTTGAAAGGAGAGCCACTAGATTTGCTGAGTGGGATGTAGCATGTGAGAGGAGAGATGGGGGGGGGGTGGCTCCCAGGTTGTGTGGCCCCTGGCAGGCAGGAGCTGTCCTTACCTGCGGAAGTTGGGGGGGGCGGCCATTGCTGGGAGCAGGTATTGGACATCTGGCAAGTGGAGTACTTAGAAGTGGAGGCTGCCAATGGCATGGGGGGTGACCAGAGGAAGCTCTCAGAAGCCCTATCCTAGGAGCGAGAGTAGAGCAGGAAGAGGCAAAGGAGGGCAGAGGCAGGAGGAAATAGGAGTGGGTGGCATTCTGGGAGCAGGGGGGGAAAGAAACTATTGCGGGGAGGAGGAGAAATCAATTGTCTGGCGCTGCCGAGATACAAAACAAAGGAGACGTGGCTTGGAGTTCAGTAACTGGGAAGGGACCTTGAGTCCTGCAGTGACCCTCTAAGGGCAGTGGCTGGGCAGAGCTCTACAAGGATGAGCATGGGAGGCCGCACCCTGCTGGTACCTTGTGAGCATGAGATGGGACATGCAAAGCCCCTGCTCCGTGGCCACTGCTCCACACAAGGACCCGTTTCCCTTTCTCTGTCTGTAGGCCTTGGGCGCCTCCACTCTCCTGCCTGACCTCAAGGCTGTCAGGGGTCAGTGCTAGGAGGAGAGTGGGCCTGTTTGTGGCCAGAGCCTCCCGGAAGGGCTTGCCTGGCAAGTGCAGAGTCCTGCGACCAGGGCCAGGGCCAGCGTGCTGTCGCCACCCTCTGTTGCTGTCCGGCAAACCTCTGTTGCATAGTGAGCCCAAGGTGTGAGGCCAGGGTTGGAGAGGGACGGAGGGCATTTCCTCCTGCCTGTGCCGTCGTCCCAGGGTGAGCAGGCGGCTCTTCCCTGACCCTCACGGCTACCCACCATCGAAGGTCTTGACAAGGAAACAGGTACTCAGGAGTGTAGCAAGTTCTAGAAGGCCCCGTGTCAGAGGATGTACACGGTGGATGGTGCCACTTTCTCCAGTTCACGCTGGACAGCCCTGCTACCAGGAGCAGACAGCAGACTACCACCTGCCCTGCCCCAGGTGGTCCGGAGGGCGGTCCGAAGCAGGCTCAGGAGCTGCCAGAGTCATGGGAGTCCCCAGGCAGCAGCCACCAGAACGCTCGAGAAGCATCTCCTTGGTCCCCATGTGTAAGGCTCCTCCTGGAGGGCTCAGAGGTGAGCTGTGGGGGCTCACAAAGACCAGGGCTACTGCCAGAAGGGTGGGAGCCCCGTACCTGGTCTACGTCGCTCATTCCTGCCCTCCCCCTAAACCTAACTTCAGATCCTTGACAGACAGGGCCATGGCCCCTGCTCCGGGTCTGTCCCAGGCTGACTGCCCCAAACCCAGTGATGGATCACGAGAGGAAACTGAGGCCCAGAGATGTAAAGCAAGTTGGCTAAATTCACCAGTGTGTGATTTCTTTTTGCTTTTTGGGTCACTCCCAGCAATGCACAGGGGTTACTCCTGGCAGTGCTCAGGGGACCATATGGGATGCTGGGAATTGAACCCAGGTCAGTCGCGTGCAAGACAAAGGCCCTGCCCGCTGTGCTATCTCTCCAGCCCCCCAGTGTGACATTTTACCCAGAGGTGCAAAGGGGCCCAAACACTTTGGTTTGTGGAACACACCCAGTGGGGCTTATGTCTGGACTTGGGGATCGCTTTTGAATAGGCCTCGTGGACCATATGGGGTGCTCGGTCCACGAGGCCTATTCAGGAACCCAGGTTGGCCTGTACAAGGCAAATGCCCTTCCGGCTGTACTATCTCTTTGTCCTTGTTGAGCCCAAACTAAAACTTACCTTGAGCACTGTCACCCTGAAGACAGCCCATTGGCATCAGGCAGATGGTTCAAAGAGCTGAAGCGTGTACTTTGTGTGCTGGACCAGGTTCCATCCCCAGCATGCCCAGTGTGGCTCAAAATTCAGAAAGAAAACATCCTACTTTTTTTTGTTCTTGGGCCACACCCTGCCAGTGCTCAGGGATCAAACCCCGGTCAGCCCACATGCAAGATAGGCCCGTTCCTATTGTACTCTCGAGCTCCAAACCCCAGTTTCTTGTGTGAAATGGGTCAGAAGCCACTCATCTCTGCCAACAGCAGCTGTAACTGCACAGTTGGACTTTCCCAAGCGGGAAGCAGCCTTAGCTATAGCTGACTCTCAGGACATGGGCTTGCACGGAGCCTGTGCAGAGTGGCCTGGGTGCCAAGAACACCACTACACTCCTGAGCGCCCCTTTCCAAGTCTGAAGAATCATGACAGATCTCTGTGACTGTGAAAAGTAAGAGTCCTGCGGTGCTGAGGAAACAGGAAGTGCAGAGGCTAGTGGGTTGGTTGGGGAGTCAGAGAACTAGGGGTGGTGGGGGCAGATTGTGTCAGCAAACCCCAATATGCCTGAGGTCAGATGAAGGTTCCACTCAGGGACTGGTCAGCGGGACTTCCATGTGCAAAGCATGTGCTGGGGCAGTTGAGCCATCTCTAATGCCCCCCCCACCCCCAATCTGGTGTCTGGACAGAACTACCTGGGGCTTCGCCTACAGACTGCCCTCAGACCTCCCCACATTTACCCTTCCCTTTCTCCTTTTTCAGCACAACAAGGCCAGTCAGCCCAGTCACGGCATCCCCCAACTCTCTCCTCTTTATGAACATTTCAGCAGCCCACACCCCACCGCTGCGCCAGCCGACATCAGCCAGAAGCAAGGTAGGGAGCTGGGGAGGGCACAGGACTTACAGCTTATGAACCTGGAGCTGTACAAACCCAGGCCTCAAGCAAGCCAAAGGAGGGCTGGGGAGACTGAGGGCAGAGAGCCGGAGCCCTAAGTGACCCCACCACCAGCGCCATGTGAGAGCAGACAGGGCTGCTATTAAACCCAAGCCCCTCTGCCCCCGGAGAGAAAATGGAAAGTGGTGCTTGTGATGCTGAGTCACCTCGGCCCCCGCCAAGTCATTCTGAAATCAGTCTTTGTCATCTGTGGGCAACCTGCTGACTCAACCCTAGGGGAGCAGAGAGGACCCTCCAGCTCCCCGGGAGATCTGCCTCCCGCCCAGAAAGGCAAGCCAAAGCCCCCACAGGCCAGCAGACGGGGGTATGCCACGGCCTAGCCTCCCACTGAGTGTCTGTCTCTAGCCAGCGTGTCTATGTAGGTCACCCCTTTGCCCTTGGTTCCCTTGCCTGGGGGGCAGGGGTGGGAAGGTCCTATTATCATAAGGGGGGGGGTCTGTCTAGTATGTCTGGTCCTCTAGGAAAAGGTGGTACCTTCAAGCCATACTGGAAGCTTTAGGGTGCAGTAATGCAGTGGCCTCAGGCAGGCCTGTTCACTTACCCTCTCCATTGCAGGAGTTCACAGGCCTCTGCAGACCCCTGACCTCTCAGGCTTCTACTCTCTGACCTCAGGAAGCGTGGGACAGCTCCCCCACACCGTGAGCTGGTGAGTGTGGCCCTGGGGGGACAGAAAGGTATCTGCGCACCACTGCCCCCTCCATGCTGCATAGAGCGCCCTCCTGCTGGCGGTGTGGGTGGGAGGGCTGGCCAGGCTCGACTCCAGTTGGGCGTGCTCCCTTTGCCAAGATTCAGACCCAGCCCTGGTCTGGGCCCGCTGGCATTGGGCTTTTGCTGTTTGAGACTCTTGACTGGGGGAACAGGGCCTTGCAACTGTGAGGTGAAAAGGCCTGAGGAGGGAGACATGCGTGGGCCAGAGGCTGCTGCTTCTCTGCATGCTTACAGGCGGCTGCTAGTCACTGGCCGCCGTGCCGGCTGGTTCCTTTCTTGGGTGAGCCGCAGGGGTGGCAGACCCCTCCCTCATCCCCACATTTCCTGCTGTGGCACACATTCCTGACCAACTCACTTGGAGTCATGAGGCGGGAAACCCAGGCTGGCAGGCCCAAGTGTGGGCCAAGAGAGCCTCTCTTTGAGGTGAGGGCGGAGGCTCCCTGGAAAAGCACATGCCTTGCCACATGTCAAGCCCTCCGTTCCATCCCTCACACTGCAAACTAAAGGACACGGGCCTATCTTCAGTTGGTGTTTGGCTTCCTGGTGCTTTGGATATCAGTGGCAGTGTGACCTGGGCAGGGTGGGGCAATCACCCAGTCTGTTTCCAGATTGCTCCACTGAATACAGATCAGGTAAGCCCCAAGTATTCCCAGGTTTGATGTGTGCCAGGCAGGGTCCCAGACACCACAGAGCACTGCAGAACCACCCTTCTCTGGAGGTTCCTGCCCTGCGAGCTGTCCACTTAGTATATAACCCCACACAAGGGCCCGACAAGGATAAGTGGTTAGCGGTGCTGACTGGGGACTACAGAACACAGGAGGCAGGTATCCAAATGCGATCTCAAGGGCTTTCAGGGAAAGACTGTTTAGTCAGGCTGGAGTTAAAAGAAACAATGTGGAGCAGAAGAATTCGCATTGTGTAAACACTGGTACAAAGGTTCTCGCGCAGGATGTCTCAGGTGAGGCTGGAGAGGTCCTGCACGCAAGGACTGTGGCTTTGAATTTTGTAGCACCAGCCCCAGACTAGGGAGGGGGAAATGTGCAGCAGAGGCTGCCCTCTGGTGGCCAACACATAAAATACAGCGGGGCCTCTAACCAGAGGTGGATCTCCTCACACTACGGGCCCTTCCTCACATGTGGCCAGTAGCCAGCCTGCTAACCGCTGTCTCTCCCAACCACAGGCCCAGCCCTCCTCTCTACCCCCTGCCCCCCTCCTGCGGATATAGACAGCACTTCCCTGCCCCCACCACAGCCCCTGGCGCCCCCTACCCCAGGTGAGTCCCCTTCCGTTCAGCCAGCCAGGCTCCTGCTTCCTGTTGCCCAGGCTTCACTGCCCATAGAGGCCGTGCCCAGGCCCGTGCTTGCCCTGTTGCTTTTCCAGCCGTCCGTCTGTCATTCTTCAGTCACCTGCTGCTATGTCCCCAACAATGAAGCCAGTGGGAGTATGAGCAGCCTAAGCCCGGGCCATGTTGTGTGCACCAGAGGACAGTACGGCCAGGGACGGCACATGCACATGTGCTGAGCTGCTGCTCTGCGTTGTGAGTCAGCCGCTGTGCAGCTGTGTGTGCACTCGCCCGTGTCCTGCATCCCTGCTGAGAAGGGGGGTCGGGACCATCCGAGACAAAGCACATTCTGTCACACTTCTTCAGTCGATGGCCCTTAAAGGATGCCTGCTCAGGGACCCCCATGCCACCCTTTGCAAGCAAGAAAGGCATTGTGGCATCCACCAAAGAGCACAGAAGTGAAATGGAGGCATACGTGGGCCTTAGCTTAGCCCCCCAGTAAAAGACTTGTGTCAAGTGTGGAACAGTGAGTTCAGAGAGTGGGACGTAGACCATGCCAGTTGAACTGACGTTTGGGTGCTAAGGAAGCCCAGTGAGACCAAGCCAGGTGTGACGGTTGAGGAGCTTCATGTCAGGGGGGAGTGACTCCTGAGCCAGAAGGACAGAGCACTAGTTGGCTGGGGATGGGTAGTAATAGCAGAGGGGGGAAGTGGGGCAAGAACTGTAAGCAGAGCTGTGTGACCCAGGAAAGTGCCACCTGGGTTTTATCCTATGGGCATTAGGGGAATTTCAGGAGTGGCCATAAGCATTTAGGTTTTTAAAGTCACTCTGGGACTGAAGAGATTGTACATGCGCAGGGCACTTGCTCTGTACATGGCCAGCTCGGGTTCAATCCCTGGCACCCCTTTTGGTCCCCTGAGCCTGCCTGGAGTGATCCCTAAGCACTGCAGGGTATGGCTCAAAAAGGTCACTTTTTGGCTCTTGTTGAGAAGCCTGGAGGGATCAAGAAAGCTCCCAGGGTGGATCTGGTTCATGAGGGTTCACAAGTAGAAATCAGATGTAGCACCCATCTGAGTTACGTCTGTGCACGTTTTTGCGGTGTCTGTGTAATGTGTTGGGAGCAGGTACGTGTATCTCTGTGTACTTGTGTGCAGGCCTTTGGTGGTGTGGTTATCTGTTCCTTCTGCATTGTGCCAGGCCTGTGTATGTTCAGAGTTCTGGCTCAGTGTTAACTCTTTTCTTGTCCAGGTTCACCCACCCATCCCTGATGCTAGGCTCTGGCGTATCTGGTCACCCTGCAGCCATCCCCCACCCGGCCATCGTGCCTCCCTCAGGGAAGCAGGAGCTGCAGCCTTATGACCGAAACCTGTGAGTGGAAAGACCCAGTGGGGCGGGCGCACATCTCAGGTCAGTTCTCAGCCAGGATACTTGGTCCTTTGGCTACTGACCACTGATTTGTATTTTTGGGAGCAGAGGGCTACACCTGGCAGTACTCCAGGATCACTTCTGAAAGCACTTGAGACTGTATGGGGTGCCAGGATCAAACCCAGATTGGCAAGCACCTTACCTGCTCTGCCATCACTTTGTCTCGTGACCACTAATTTTGGAGGGTTCTCACACAGAGGGAATGGGTGGGGTGGGGAAACAAGGAATTTGTTTTGAGCCAGGGAGGGACTAAGAAGTCTTTACAAATGCTCTTCTAGTCTTCCAGTAAGGAGTAGTTAAGCTCTGCTTACCCATTTGGGAACAGGCTATATTTTTTCATTTATAAACCTTTAGCATTCACATGCATCTTTACACACCAGAGGGGTGTAGTAGCATGAAAAACCAGGCGATGGTTTCCTGCATGACCTGGGCATGTCTTCTCAGGAAGACACAGGCAGAGTCCAAGGCTGAGAAGGAGGCCAAGAAACCAACCATCAAGAAGCCACTGAATGCTTTCATGCTGTACATGAAGGAGATGAGAGCCAAGGTCATTGCCGAGTGTACACTCAAGGAGAGTGCTGCCATTAATCAGATCCTGGGTCGCAGGGTAAGGCCATGGGCCGGCGGGCTGGCAGAGGTGGCCCCTCATTACTTGTCCTGTGCAGCCTGCTGTCTAACATGACCCACCTACCCTGTGTCTGTTGCAGTGGCACGCACTATCGCGGGAAGAACAGGCCAAGTACTATGAGCTGGCACGAAAGGAGAGGCAGCTACACATGCAGCTATATCCAGGCTGGTCGGCTCGGGATAACTATGTGAGTAGCCAGACTTGGAGCAGAACCCTCGGAGAGTAACTCCTGAGAGATGCCTTGCATGTCGCAGACCACAGTATCTGTAGGGGAGGCAAGACTGTTTGAGGTCACAAATAAGGATGGGAGGTAGTAGAATTCAGAGCCCAACGAGGCTATCCCTAAAGACAGGCCCAGGTTCTCTTTCACCAAGGAGGCACAGGCCTCTTGCCCAATATTTGGGCATGTTGGGAAAAGGGAAAACCCCTAGGAAGGAAGCTCATCACTGAACGAGGCCAGGAGAGCCAGTAAAAATGACTCCACAGACCTGGAGTGCAAGCTTTGCACGTGAGATCCCTGGGTTCAATCCCTCGTGCTCCATCATCCTTTGAGCACTGTACCAGAACCCCTGGGCGGCAGCAGAGGAGAGGGGAGAGCGCCTGTCCCATGGTCCCTTAGCAATAACTGCTACCCAGAAACACTAGAGGGATTGGCCCAGGAAACTACACAAAGGGGCTGCAAGGCATTGCCCACACGGATTAGCCCTGAAGGTCGCCAAAGTCCCGTGAGGACAGACATATAGCACCAACCCAGTTAAGAAGTAACACCAGAGTTCCCAGGTGGAAGAGGAGACTGCACGCCCAAAATCCCAGCAGCAGCCAGGCTGGTGTGCCAGCACTTGCTAACTGAGATTCCAACATCTGCCTCTTGGGTAAATGCTATCAATTTTTTTCCCTGCAGGGTAAGAAGAAAAGGAGGTCAAGAGAAAAGCAGCAAGAATCCAATACAGGTGAGGCAGTCCTTCAGCAGAACAGAGCCTTCTCTGCAGGCCCCCATTTCATTAGCAGCCCTACTCTGGCCCCAACTGAGGGACAAAGTAGTTAGGAACCTTCAAAGCTAAGATGCCAGGCCTCTGGAACCAAGATCTGTAACCGAGGTCCCTATTCAAAACCCTACACAGTGGCCAACTCCTAAGTCCCAGGGCAGACCAGAAGACATTTCATGAAGCAGCAACACACTCCCCACCCCCTCGAGCAAGCTAGCCTCTGCCTAGTAAACCATAAGGAACAGATTGTATACTCCAGTGCTAAACTCCAACCTCGCATCCTGACTAGTCTTGATTGCGGAAGGGGGTGCAGGTTGTCTTGGTAGAGCCTGTTGCGTGGGTCTTGGCAATGCTAGTGCAAAGTGCTGTTTCAAGAACCTAGCGAGCAAGCCCTTTGCTACAGGTCTGTGGGGTGAATTCCTGCCCAGACTGTTCACTTGTGACTTTCTCAGATGCGCTGTTCCATACAGGCTACAAGGGGTACAGGGCAGATCCTTCGTTTGTTCTCTCATGTTGAGGGGGCCTTTCTTTTCACCTAGAAAAAGTAGAGAATAGGCTCGAAGCTATAGAGAGAACGGAATGAAACACAATGGCAAAACTGAAGGGATAAAAACAAAAACCAGGAAAATGGGCAGCGTACATTTTTTAAAAGGACCATATTCCATCCCTACTAGAAGTTTCTCTGGACTCTTCTCCCATAGTTCCATGCTGCCCGAAAGGAGCTAGCCTGAGTGTCCATCGCCCCAACCTCCGCCCCAATCATTCTTCCACTGCCTTGCTGGGTGCCCATCTCTCTGATACCTTGGCTTTGACCCCAGGGCTCCCAATGGGGCTGGCTGTGCCACTGAGAAGTTTACTCTGCCTTTGGGGACTGTGGGGGTGTCTGTGACTGGCTAACACTGATGTTACCTCTTCTTTCTGGGCCCTGCTCTGCCCTGCTGCCTGCCTGCTCACCCTCTGCCCTGCTATGCCCCTCTGCCATTGCTGTGAGCAGACCCTGGCTCGCCTAAGAAATGCCGTGCTCGCTTTGGCCTCAACCAGCAGACGGATTGGTGTGGTCCGTGCAGGTGGGTTTGTCCCCACCACCAACCTCCCTTTGCTTCAAGCTGCTCCCTTGACTCTGCACAAGTTCTGCTAGAATGTAGCCCTCCTCTGGCCCCCTGCTATATCCAAAGACTGGGAGCCCCACCTTCTGAGAGTGAACACTGAACAGACTGCAGAGATCATTGGAGGCTAGGTCTCTGTAGCATTATGGGCGAAGAGACAGAAGACATGGGAAGGAACGCCAGACTCCAGAAGGCATCTGTCCCTAGTGCCTTGGATCCCCTGGTAGTGATGGGCTGGCGATACCCAGGCCTGGTGGGTCCTCATGAAAATCTCACTTACACCATTAAGGTGATAGGATCCCTTGCAAGTCTTTAGGGCCTATCAGCTTCCCTCACTTGTCCAAGTTGGGATCCCTATTGTCCCATCCCAAATCCTTAAGTCCAAGAATAGCCAGATAACTAGAGACCTGAATAACCTGGTTGTCAAGTGGCTATGACTCATTACCTTATTCCTACTGAGACCAGGAGACTGGAAAGATAGAGGATCAAGAGTACCACTAAGCTGTCGAAGACAAAGAGCCACATTCAGGCCTTGGAGTCCTAAAGCAGTATTCCACTGTATAGCAGAATTATTTGTCAATGTGAAAAAATCTAACTACCAAGTGGCTAAAATAGACTCGTTTAGATCAGGCCTGGTGTGGCTAAAAGCACTTTGGCAATTATTTTACTGGTTTTGTTTTCCCTAGCCTCTCAGTGCCTATCATGCTCCTTATTTGAGGATCAAGTGGAATGGAGAGGGAGTGTGTGTGTATACCCATGATGGGTGGCAACTCCATCCTCAGTCCTACATCAACTATTATACCAGGAGAAATAGCTATCACTTCTGCTTTCCCCTTCTCTGCCCTAACCTAGTTCTGAGCATTCAGATGCTCAGTCTAAGAAGCCAGGAGCATTGCAGTCCCTCCTTGCCTTACTGCAAATCTGAGCTCCACGTAACCATGTGACACAGTGGATTCCTATGCCACCTTGTGGCTCTGCTCGGAACTGCAATTACCCAACGTTTGAGCCAGGCATAGTGGAGTTGCTGTGCTAGTTCTGAAGATGCATTATGGGAAGGGGACAGGTGGTCAACTATGCCTATGCAAGAACAGTTTTTTTGGTTGTGGTGTATGACTGTGAATTCACCCTCTGTTTACAGATAACTCTCTTCACTATTCCTAGGAGGAAAAAGAAATGCATTCGGTACTTACCCGGAGAAGGCCGCTGCCCCAGCCCCGTTCCTTCCGATGACAGTGCTCTAGGCTGCCCTGGGTCCCCAGGCCCCCAGGACTCACCCTCATACCTCCTGCTGCCCCACTTCCCCACAGAACTGCTTGCTAGCCCTGCGGAGTCAGCACCATCATCACCAGGTCTTTCGGTTGCTCTCAGCCTCCCACCGCCCTGGGCCCCTCTAGGCACCCACCCTGCAGAGTACACAGCGACAGGACTCTCAGATTCAGGCAGCCTAGCATGCATAGGACATGTGGCCTCCCCCAGGGGTCCACTCTCAGAGAGGAGGCGACAGAGCCCCAAAGCACGTGGAAACCGGCCAGGGGTCCTGTTAACTCCTTCTCCGGGTCCAGGACCTGGAGAAGGCACCACAACTTCTGCCAGTACCTGAGGCCATCAATTCAGACTGCTGGTGCTGGAAATAATATCTGTGGTGGCATCTACCAAGCATCCGTGCCTGTGGCAGTATGCAGTCAATCCATTCTTTTTACCATCTGTCTTACCGATCATGTGCCCCTACATCCCTTGCTTTTTTTGCCTACAGGCCATAGGTGGGCTGGTGGAGCCCAGCTGCTTGCCCTGTCCCTGCCCCTCCTTAACCATCCCCTCAACTCACTCCCCAGTCAAGTCTTCCCATATGACACTTCATAGACCAAGAACGGGCTGGTTTGTCAAAAGCTGTGTGAGCGTGGTCATAACTACAAAGCTCAAGATAATGCTTCTCTCTAAAGGTGCTTAGAGAAGCCCTGTTTACAGAAAACCAGCTGCTATTTGTAAACTGGACTAGAGAAAACCTTTTACCACATTTTCAGGAGCTTGCAAAAGGAAGGAATGGAGTAAGTTTAGGCCTATCATCCTAGGCAACAACAAACCTGACACTACCTTATCAGGAAAGTGTGTGTTGTGGTCTGATATCTGGCTCTAGTTCAAATTATTTGCAAATGTTTCTTTGTGGAGAAATTCACCGGCCTTAGAAATCCCAATACCAAGGTCCCCCAGGCCTGACACTATGGTTTCAGAAAAGTTTGCCCCAAATCCACTGCATTCCTCCCAATTCCAGGACCTTTTTCACAGCTCCATTTACAGCTTATCTGTATCAGTCTAACCAGCTCTTGAGTAGCTGAGAGGACATACACCAACCTTCTGACCCCCATTACCCATCTGCCAGCATGAAACCAGGCCACGTTTGGTTTCCCTTTGGGGCTTCAAGAAGGACCATTATAACCAAAGCAAAGAGCCCAGAAAATGTCTAGCGGTAGATAGTGGGTTTTTACCACAGCCTACTTTAAACCATTTCTGAGCCAAGCTTCAACCCTGAGCCTTAAAAAACAAATCTTTTAATTTAAACTTTTTTTTTTTTGCCTTCTCCTCACTGTACATAGCCTGAATCCAAAGAAAAAGGGCTGCCTGTACCCATTCTCTTACAATGAAAGTCTGTACTTCCTATTTTAGCCACTGGTTGCTCAGAATCCAAAGATATATATTCTAGTATAGTGTTACCAAAGTCTTGATGGAAAAAAGGACCATTGTGTAGTGTTTAAAATATTTTTATATTGTTAATGCATCATCATAGAAAAACTTTTTAAACATGAGAATAAAGATACTTTTTACTGGTTTTCATTTTTAAAAGCTTGACTGGGAGGAATAAGCTGCTTTAGTAACCATGGAAAATGTTACTCCTTTCCCTTTCCATAGCCTTGAACTTGTGAGTTATTCTCTTGCTGTGATACACATTTTTAGGGCTGTGAATACAGAGAAGCCAGTGATTACTCTCATCTCATGGTGGGCATGAGTTCAATTCCTGTTCTTACTTCCCCAGTCCTCTGACCTCAACAACTGCAGGCCAGCCAATATTCAGAATAAATGAGATAAAGGAGTTTAAACTGCCATCCATGCACCCTACAACAGTTCAACCTGAAATAGCAATCACTATGTTCCTTTTTCTTCTAAGGGCAGAGAAGAGACAAAATATTTCACAAGAACATAACCCATTTGAAAGGCAAAGAGCAAACAGGAAAGTGTCTTATGACTTAGTATCATAAAACCTGTATTTTAGTGACACCCTTTTGCTCTGAATGCTGCATCTTTTTAAGGTGCCTGAAGTAGTCTTATTTTACTTGACATCTCGGAAACCTGATAAAACTACAAAATCTGCCTTTGAGATGGAGGGAAGACATGGAGGTGCTGGCAGGGAATACTGGCTTGAGGGAACCCATGTGGTGCCAGGGAGTGAATTGAGGCTGTCCATGTGCAAAGACCTAACCTGTACTATCACCCAGGCCACCACAATCTGCTTTTTACACAGCAATTTCTACCACATTAAAGTACACCACAGATATAAAAGGGGTCGTATCAAGCCATCTTTTCGATCACTCTAGATTGCTAGGAAATAACTTCCATAGTAGTCACTGGAATAGTTACAATTTTTCACTTCACTGTGTTAATTTTCTTGATGTTTAAAACTATAGTCATCTTCCAGAATAAGTCGTCTTTAAAGTAGGCCACTTGAAGTTGTAATCCCAGCTTTGCTTGTTTCTGATACTAGAGAGCAGCCATTCTCTTGACATCTGTTCCATTTAAAGAATTCAGCTCTGGATACTGGCCTAGTTGTTTTAAAAAACTACATTCTAACCAAGGCTTATGCAAGCTGGGACTGCTGCATCTGATTTGGTGTCTCATTTAAAGTACACTTAGTACATGAACAATGTAGCCTTTGTGAACTGTGAGGGAGAGAAGGGGGCTTTGGCAATATCCTTAAAATCAGACAAGACTTTTAAAAATCTAACTTCAAAGAGGAAATTTGAATCTTCCCAAATCACACTAGGGCATTCCTTATAAAGCCAGAGCGTGACTTGAGATCACAGTTCCAAGTTCAACTTCAAATACACCAGCAATCCTACTCTCATTCCCAGCCAAGTACCAAGTACCCTATTTTCTGTGACTAGATAACCCAACTTCCCCAAGGTAGTCTCAGGCAGCAGGTAGATTAGCTGAAAGTTATTGGTATTCTAATTATTTTTGGCTATGCTTGAGGAGCCTATGGGTGCCAGGGTTAGAAACCCAGGTCTCTAGTCTAATAGAGCTATCTCCTCTACCTGAAATGGTAGATCTTGACCCTTTGCCTGCTGCAAACAGGTCCTCTACCCTCCTGTGCTCAGTGGATTATGGTAACTCAGCAAGCTAGCAAAGCTGTCTCAAAGTGTTTTCCCCCCTGTTATAAATGGGTGTCATAGCTAGACTACTCTGAGCTGTTTTTTGTTTTTGGGGTCTCCCAAGCAGTGTTCAGGAAACCCTGGGATCACAACTGAAGATACTCAGCCAACTAAGATGGTGGCTCAGTGATAGCATACCACTGCTTGAGCCCTGTGATGCTTGGGGATCTCTGGGTCATACCCAGTAAAGCAAAGAACATACAGTGCTAGTGGTCAAACCTGCGTAAGGTGCATGTGCTAACCTTTACTATCTCCTTGCCTGTTTTTTTTTTTGACCTGGAGTGGATTAATCATGCTTGGCTACCAGTACCATACTTGGCACTGCTGTTAGCGGGAGAAAGTATCATACATACGATACTGGGGATGGGAAGCAGGGTCTCACACTTAATAAGCATATTCTCTTACATTTGTGCTCTCTTGCCTGGTATACTATAACAGTTTTGTTTTGGGACCACATCCGGTGATAGGAGTTATTCCTGGCTCTGCTCAGGAATTCCTCATGGCAGGGGAAAGGGACCATGTGGGTGCTGGGGGTCAAATCTAGGTTAGACATATGCAAAGCAAACACCTTAACCTGATGTACTATCTTTCCTATAACTTTTGAAAAGTCCAAAGCACTTTCTGAGCAGAAAAGTTAATATAGCTATTTGTTTTTTGTTTTTTTGGGGGTCACTTCGGCAATGCACGGGGGTTACTCCTGGCTTTGCACTCAGGAATTACTCCTGGCGGTGCTTGGGGGACCATATGGGATGCTGGGAATTGAACCTGGGTCAGCCATGGGCAAGGCAAACGCCCTACCCACTGTACTATCGCTCCAGCCCCAATACAGCTATTTCTAAGGTCTCTCTAGTTTTAAGGATTATCAAGAGTACTTGAAATTGGCTGGAGAGATAATACAGCAGGTAAGGTTCGATCCCTGGCACCCCACATGATGTCCCTCCCCCCAAATCCCCACCAGGAGTGATCCCTAAGCAGAGCCAGGATTAAACTCAATACTGCTGGGTGTGGCTCCAGAACCAGGGTGGGGTCGGTGATTAAAACAGCCAGTTTGATAAAGGCTTTGTTTTATCAAATACTCTGATCCCCAACAATTCCAATCACTGTTTTAGAACACAAATCTCCCAAGGCCTCTTTTAAACTCAGACCCCTGAGCTATCTGATAGTCTGGAGTAGGTAACAGCTCACTGGTGTTAACTGCTGTGATGGGCTGTGGCGATCTGAGAAGAACCTTGACTTCGGATTCCTAAACAAGGAGTTCTGAAACCTAACATACGGGACATTTCTCCAGTCACTTCCCTGAAATAAAAGCCTAACTCAGATCAGAAGAAACCTTAAAAGCTATTAAAAGCTTTAAGGGGACTGGGGTCAGTGAACTGGAGAAGACAAATTTGGTAATGTGGTAGAAACCATCCTATCTTTAAGTCCTTGCAAATTAAAGTCATATTCTGAAAAAGTGACAGCAACTATGAATTACCTGGGAGGCAGTTACTAGTTCAAGTGGGTACTTCCTTCACCAGGGGCTCTACCAATTCTTCCTTTTTCATTCATGTCTCTCATTCTTTTTCCTAAAGTCTTACTCATTGAATGCAAAGTGAAGGAAAAAGGTGAAGATAAATGTAGGTAAAATTAGATTTTACCCTCCACTCCCTCCCCCCAAAAACGCAACTTTGACAACAGCTACTGAATAGTTTTCTGTGTATGCTGTATTTCCACCTTTCCTTTAAACCTGCGAAGCAGCTGATGCAGAGTTGAGTCAGGTATTATGAAGTAACACATTCGAGAAAGAACAAATAGTCTTTCAGCATACAAAAAATTAAAAGTGAAAATACTTCTACAGACTAGGAATGAACCTCACAGCCTGGTGTGCTCCAACAGCTGAGTGAGTACTATATTGCCACCTAGGGATTTGCAACTGAAAGGGATGCCTTTGTGAAACTTTGGGAAAATGTGACCTTTTCCCAAAATTTCATAAAGGAATTAAAGCATATCGGTCTTGTATATTAAAGGTAGAATTATGAAGGTGAGCTAAATGTATCAGGTCCTGGGAATTCCTGACACCAAAAAAAAAAAAGTAGAAGGTAATTTGCTTCTAAAAAATAAAAGATTATGGGGGTAGGATATTATTGGGTCTGGGGAGACTTCACAAAGACATACAGGAGCTCTAGAACCATATCGTCCCCCAAGCACTGCTAGGTATGCACTTACCCCCGCCCCCCCCCACACAAATGTCCCCCAACCAATGCCAGGAGTGACACAAGCAGAGTCAAGAGTAACCCAAATATTTAGGACCTGTGATTTGGGCAGGCTTGGGTGGTGGTTGAAAAAAAATAGGAAATAACGGTTGTGGGAAGGTGCAATGGTGTTAGAATACCGAGTTTAATAGGAAAAAATTAAAAAATATGAAAGAGCAACCTAAAGACTGTGGGGTGTGACCCTGAGCCCAAAAGTAAAACCATTTTACCTTAGACTGAAAAAAACCAGGGTGTAGGATATATTTACCAATGTTCGCTCTGACACAGACAACAAGTAGGCAATAATATGAGCATATATATTACTTATTACTAAATAAGGCAGGGCTAGAGAGATGGCACAGTGGGTCAGGTACTTGCCTTGCACACAGCCTACCTGGGTTCAATCTCTGACATGCCATATGGGCGCCTAAGAACCGCCAGGAGTAATTGAGTGCGAAGCCAGAAGTAAGCCCTTAGTATTGCCAGGTGTAGACCAGAGACAAAAAAAAAACTAAATGTGGGACTGAAGTAGAGATAAATTTGTCAAGTAATGATCTGAGCCAGAATAGCTCACACTAAATGTGAAGAGAATAGAAAATTATGTAAATACAAGACTACATATCAATATATCAATAGATGATGCTAATCTGAAATGTAGCAAAAATGGGTGGAAATACATTAGTTACCTCCAAAAAAGGAAAAAAGACCCATAATACTACTTCAAGGGAGAAGCTAGAAATGACAACAGTACATGGGTACCCAAGTATACTAGTGAAACACTGGATCCAGTGAACTTTACCAATGACAGTTAAAGTCTGTCAGTACACTTTTATGTCAGCTACCTCCATAGAGTTAGGACTTTTAAATGTCTACAGGTCTTTTCCAGCTTGCAGACATTTATTCATAAATTCAAATATTAATCAGAAGACATTTAAGTACAAAAAAAGCAAACTGCTTACTACCTACTACATAACTTACTTTTTATTGAAAGTGTCTTGCATTCATGATGGATGCTTTCTGCGTTTTGCCACATTTTTTTTTTTTTACATGCAAGTAGTGTAAATAGTTCTCCATATGGGGATCACTGATTATAAAAGAAGGATACCACATGGGTTAAGTGTCTTTAACTGAAAAGCTAACAAACCATCTAGCCTGTCAGACAAAACCCCCATAACCTTTAGTCGTCTCGCCAACTTATTCAAAGCCAAGAGCTTAAAATGGTAAAAACAAGTCCTAATCAAATTAAGGGAGACCTACTATATATAGGGTAATCAATACCTATGGATACTTGACTCCAGGAAGAAAGAAGTCCTCCTAATAATCAGTACATTAACCTCAAGTAGGCTTTTTACAGTTCTCAACTCATCAATAAAAATAATACGTTGTTAATTCTATTTCAGAAAACTTTTTGCAAGTTGTCTTTATTTACAACGCCAACTTTTAATAGGTCACTGAAGTCCACTAGACAATAAACTAGGCAGAAATCGCTTTACAAAGAGGGAAAGCCCAAAATGTCACTTTCTAGAGAGAATCCACTGTTCAGTTTTATTCAGAGCAAAAAAAAAGAAAAGGAAAAAAACCTTTGATCATATAAGAAACTCAAGCTTTAGGTCTGGAATCTGTACTCAAACTACACATGCAAAGAGGACAATATTCGCTAATACAATTGATTTGCTGCTGCATTTGTCTACAGTTTGTCTAATATTAACAATTATAAACAGAGCAGTGCAACTAGTATTTGGAACAATCCTTACAGTGTTACAGTGTCAGGCAGAGCATTTCACTTCTCTTCACACCACTGGTTCTCTTTGCGTACCTAGAAGAGATATAATGGAATACTGTAAGGTAGTCTTTCCTAACACTGCTATTTAATCATTCACTAACAGTCTGAAGTAGGTCAAAAGGAGTTTAAAAAAAAAAGAAAACCAATATAAAAACAACACATAAGGCACTTGCCTTGAATGTGACCAACCCACGTTAAAATCCCATGTAGTCCCCCCCCAAGCACTACCAGGAATGATCCTGAGTGTACATCCAGGAGTAAGTCCTGAGCACCGCCAGGTGTGGCAGCCCAAAAACCAACCAGACAAGAAAAAAATAGATTGGGACCCTGTGATAGTATAGCAAGTAGGGCACATGGCTGACCCACGTTCAATTCCCAGCACCACATAAGAGATCTTGAGCCCTGCCAGAAGTGATCCCTGAGCACAAAACCAAGAGCAACCCTGGTGTGGCCCAGTGATTTTTTAAAACTAACTAGATTAGGAGCCAGAGTACAGCGGGTAAGGTGCTTGCCTTGCATGCAGTAGACCTGGGTTCAATTCCCAGCATCCCATATGGTCCCCTGAATACCACCAGGAGTAATTCCTGATTGCAGAGCCAGGAGTAACCTGAGTACTGCCAGAAACCAATAAATTTTTAAAATAATGTTAAAAAAATAATAGGTTAAGTGTGCCTTTTTTGTGACCCTTCATTGCCTCCCCATGCCGTTAAAATTATCAAAAGAGCAAACAAAAGCAACTGGCAACTTTCCCCAGAACTGAGCACGGTAGCACTGTAGCACTTGTCCTCCCATTCATCGATTTGCTCAAGCAGGCTCAGTAACATCTCCATTGTGAGACTTTGTTGTTACTGTGTTTGGCGTATCAAATACGTTATGGGTAGCTTCCCTGGCATTGCCATGCAGGCGAGATACTCTTGGTAGCTTGCCGGGCTCTCTGAGAGGGGCACAGAGGAATCAAACTCGGGTCGGCCCGCTGCGTGCAAGGCAAATGCCGTACCGCTGTGCTATCGCTCCAGCCCCCAGAACTGAGAGCAAAGTTCAATCTCCGATTGTAGCTGCCAATAAGATCACTGTCACTGTCCTCCCATTGTTCATCGATTTGTTCGAGCAGGCCCAGTAACGTCTCCATTGTGACAACTGTTACTGTGTTTGGCACATCGAATATGACATGGGTAGCTTGCCAGGCTTTGCTGTGCGGGCGAGATACTCTTGGTAGCTTGCCGGGCTCTCCAAGAGGGGCGGAGAAATAGAACTCGGGTTGGCCATGTTGGCCGCTTAGCAAGGCAAATGCCCTACCTGCTGTGCTATCACTCCAGCCCCCAGACCTGAGAGCAAATTCAAATAGTTCAATCTCCGATTGTAGTTGCCAATAAGATCATTTTTTAAGTTTCATTTCCTCTCCATTCACTAAGTTACTACAAATAATCCTAGCATACGACTGAAATCATGCAGTTTGCTACTACATAGATGGATCTGGAGAGTATCAATCATGCTAAGTGAAATCAGTCATAGAAGGATAGAAACAGAATGATCTGTCTCTTATGTAGGATATAAAGAAACAGAGCAATAAAGATGTTAAAAGGCCACAGTAACTGAGAACTGAGGCTGGGGGTTGGGAGGAGAGAGTAGAGGAAGGGGACAATGGCACCATGGAAGAGTAAAGTGTCTACTCTGATGAATGGGTGGTGCTACAATGTTTTATGCAATGAAACCCTACCATTGTTTTGTAAACCAGTGCCTAAACAAAAAACAATTCTAGAACACAACCATCCATATATCCTATTTTTTTCTAAAGCATTTATGGTCTATAGTACATAAGACCAAGGTAATAAAACTATTAACTGCTAAAGATATCAAAGAGCACCTTTGAATGAATCTTTTTTTTTTTTTTTGCTTTTTTTTTGGGTCACACCCAGCAATGCACAGGGGTTACTCCTGACTCTGCACTTAGGAATTACTCCTGGTGGTGCTCAGGGGACCATATGGGATGCTGGGAATCATCGAACCGGGGTAAGCCACATGCAAGGCCCTACCCGCTGTGCTACTGCTCCAGCCCCATGAATCTTTCTTATGCTTATAAAAATGTGGAAACATGCCAGAGAGACAGTCTAGCAGGCAGAGTGTTTGCCTGGATTCTACTCGGGTTCAATCCCTGGCATCTTATATGGTATCCAAAGCACTGCCAGTAGTGACCCCTGAATGCAAAGTCAGGAACACTGCCTGGTGTGGTCCAAAAATCTTAAATTAAGAATAACAAAATTGTGGCATCATCTAATTGTTTTTTTAAACTCAGGGTCAAAGCAATCTCTTAACCAAGAATGTTCTTAAGACGTAGAATGTACTTTTTACCCCTCGTGTAAGGTCAAGACAGGAACCTCTTTCCCTGGCATGTTTCTAATAAAGCAGGTTATCAAAACAAGTGGAACTTACCTGGGCTTCCTCTTCTTCAGTAAAGTCATTTTTGATGTTGAAGGTCTTACGAATCTCCTCAGGTGTTTTCCCCTTAATCATATTGGCAACAGTCTTGCATGTAACATCAAGCAAACCTTTGATGTCTAAGTAGTTTGCAGCCTAAAAAAAATTTTTTTTTAAAAAAGGGATAGTCGCTTTCACTGAAATATATTTTAAAGCAAATCCAAAACTAGTGACCATTTACAGTCCAATGAAAACATAAAACTGCAAGCTGGGGCTAGAGATAAAATAAGTTGCTGAGTACAGGCCTTACACGCGGCACACTATTGTTCACAGCACCAAAGGGAGCTCCAAAATACTGTCTGGCATCACCCACAAAATAGTCAAAAAAAAATTAAAATGAAAAAAATTTAAAAATTCTTACCAGGATAAGTTCAAAAAGTGTTCCTTGGTCCACTTTCAGGAATTCTTGGTCCCAAACAGGGATATCATCTGTTCGCTTTTCTTTGTTCTCATCGTCCTCAGGAGGAGGGGGGTCATCCTTGTGGTGGGTGCACCACTGAATAACCTACAAACAACAAAGTTCATTCCTCTCTGGCATTTTGTCACAAGGTACTCATTGTACTTTGAGGCAGGTTTATTCCTTAACTGAGCTAAGAACTAGCAAGATATTATCTTGAATAATAAAGTTAGTGGACAAGCTTAAAAAAACAATTAATTTTAAGAAATCTTCAAAACCCCAAGTGAGGCTAATCTTGGAAAAAAGAAAATGATGCAGACAGATTACATTACTCCACACATTAATAAAGCTCTTGTGCAAGAGAAACAAAGGACACTGTAGCACTGTCCTCCTGCTGTTCATCGATTCGCTCGATCAGGCACCAGTAATGTCTCACAACAAATTGTGAGACTTGTTACTGTTTTGGCATAACAAATATGTCACAGGTAGCTTGCCAGACTCTCCGAGAGAGGCGGAGGAATCGAACCCGGGTTGGCCGCGTGCAAGGCAAATGCCCTACCTGCTGTACTATCACTCCAGTCCAAACAAAGGACAAAGACTGTAAAATATCTGCAACTGATACAAATTATCTCAGAATAAAAGAGAAGGCTTCAGTGGGCAAGGCACTTGCCTTGCACACAGGAGACCTTGGTTTGATCCCCAGAACCACAAATAGTCCTCCTGAGCACCTCCAGGAGTGATCCTTAAGCACAAGGTCTGGAGTTAGCACAGCTGTGTGTACCCACAAAATTTAAAAAATAAGTAAGACTACACTTGCGTAATAGGTGAAAAAAAAAAAAGTGACAGCAGTCCCAGAGACACAGTACAGTGGGTAAAGTGCTTGTCTTGAATGTGTCCAAGCCAGGTTCGATCCCCAGCACCCTATATAGCCCCCCAAGCCCGAGGCCCCAAAACAATAACAAGAAAATTAAAAATAAAGGCCCAAAAGTTCCCTTAGTAGAAACATAATTAGAGTCATTATTAGGGTTTGGGGTCACACCCAGCTGTGCTCAGGCCTTACTCAACTAAAGCACATGATGACTTCAACATACACTGTAACGTGAGACCCAGGGTCATGGAAAGCAACAAAGGAAAAGGAAACAGTAATAAATAGCTAAATTTCTATCTACCAGCCCACTTATATGCCACTGCTTTCCCCATTTTCCTAGCCTTTCAAGAAATCCGCAGGTGGTCCCAGCCACTCCGACTGATTCTCAGTCAAGTAGGATGCTTAGACAATGCTAGGGCCCAAGGCTGTATGTAGTGAGGCAAGGGACCCTTATGTCAGGGGACCACCAGGACTATTATAGTCAGTAGCATTCCGGGGCCTCCGGAGTTACAATTCTGGAGTTATAATTGGAATGGGCTTCCATTCCAATAATTCTTGGAAACCATGTAGTGCCAGGGATCAAACCAGATTCCATGCATACAAAGTATAAGCCCTACCCCCTATGCTATCTCCCTAACACTACAAAGCCTTTTTTTCCCCCCCCTCCAGTTTTCAGGTCACATCCAGTGGTGCTCAGGATTACTCCCAGTAGTGCTCAGAGGATTACTGCAGTGCCAGAGATAGAACCTGGGTCTCTTATATGTAGTTTTTGCTCTGCTCTTTGTTTCTTTGGTTCCTTGCAGCCTTCTTTTTTTCCTGGGAGGTGAGGAGGAGGGAATGTTTGAGTCACACCTACTGGTACTCAAGGTTTACTCTTGGTAAACCTTGGGGGACCATATGAGGTGCCAGGGATCAAACTCGGTCAACTGTGTGCAAGGCAAGCACTTTACCAGCTGTACTATATACAATGTATTATATACAGCTTTGCGATATAACTGTTCATTTCCCTTACACAAACGCATCAGAACTGAGTCTGTGTATTTCGTTCACTGCTATAGTTCTGATACTTAAAATGACACTTGAACATAAGCAAATATCCTTTTAGAAGCATTGTGCATTAGTACTAAAACTGAATTGGGGATACAGGGGGTTCCACACCCGGCAGTGTTTAGGTTTCTACCTGGCTCTGTGCTCAAGAAACAACAAGCAGTACCAGGATTAAACCAGGGTTGCAGCCACAGCTGCATACTAAGCAAGTGCCTTAACCTTTGTATTCTTTCTGGGCCCAAAAGATACAAACTTTATTAGTACAATAACCTAGAATCAGAAATTACATCGAACTAAATAAAATCTAATGTTTAGGACAGGGTCGTAGCAAGTGGTAAAGTCTTGCATGCGTGAGGCCTAGTGTTTAATTTTTTTTGCACACAAAAAAACCCTTTAAGCTTTTAAAGCATAAAATACTGAATTGTCATAAGACATCCACTAGCAACAACCTTAGGGGCTAAAAATATAGTACAGGTGGTAAGATCCTTGCCTTACATGCAACTGACCCTGTCTCAAATCCTGAGTACCATAATATGATCCACTGAGGATTCGAGGGGTTATTCCTGAACACAAAGACAGGGATAGTCACTGAGCACTGCAAAGTGTGTCCTGCCCCAAAAAAGGAAAAAACTGCTAGCAGTGATCCCTGAAAGCAAAGCTAGCAGTAAGCCATGAACAACACTAGGTGTGGCACAACACTCTCTTCACCAACCAAGAAAATAAATAAAAAGAACTTTTAGGGTGAGAGAAATGGTAGAACAAGGTGCCTGCCTTGCAAGTGATTGATAAAGGTTTGAACCCTGGCACCTCAGCAGTAGTTCACTGACACCCTCCAGGAGTGCTGCCTGAGCAGAGCCAGAAGTAAGCCCTGAGCACAGCAGGTGTGGCTCAATACACCCCTTCAAAAAACAAAAACAACTACATGGGTCTGGGGAAGAGATAATACAGCAGGTAGGGTGCTTGCCTGTCTTGCACGCAACTGACCCAGGTTAAATCCCAGCACTACATATGATCCACTGAGCCCTGCCAGGAGTGATCCCCGAGTACTGTGCTGGGTATGGTCCCCAAACCAAAATTTTTAAAAAAATATTTCATGTAAAGGGGCTGGAGCAGTATCACAGCAGGTAGGGCGTTTGCCTTACACGCGGCTGACCCAGGTTCAATTCCCAGCATCCCTTATGGTCCCCTGAGCACCGCCAGGGGTAATTCCTGAGTATAGAGCCAGGAGTAACCCCTGTACATCGCCAGGTGACCCCCCCAAAAAAAATATTTCAAGTAAAAAACAAAACCACAACATGGATGAACCATGACATCATTATGCTAATTAAAACAGGCCAATCATTTAAGAACAAATGAGGTAAACAGGGTAGTCAAATCATACAGAAAACAGTAACATTGTGAAACAGTAATGGGAAGTTATTGTTTAATGGGTACCAAGTTTGTTTGAATTGGTGAAAAAATTTCAGATATTAGCGGTGGTTAACTGTATGACCATGTTGATGTACTTCATTGTCAGTGAATTATATGCTGAAAAACATTAAAATGGCAAATTCAGTTATGCATTTTTCACAATTCTTTTTTGTTTTTAGACCACTCCCAAGTGTGCTCAGGTGTAACCCCTGGTAATACTTAGAGGACCATATGTGGTTCAAACTCACACTGGCAAGATGCAATCCAAGAGGAATAAACTCTGTATGATCTCTCCAGCACTCATAATTTTTCTTTTTCTTAAAAGCCTCTTAGAGGGCCAGAAAAAGAGAGCTCACTGATTAGAGTGCAAGAGTGCAAACTTTGCATGCAGAAGGGCTAGGTTCAAACACCAGAACAGCACCATGCCAGGAGCAGCTCCTAAGCACCACTAGGTATGGTCTTAAGGGGTCTGGGAGAGATAGTACTCCTGTTAAGGCACTTGTCTTGGATGCAGAACCCAAGGATACAATTCCTAGCACTCCATATGGTCCCCTGAGCTCTGTCAGGAGTAATATTGGAGTAAGCCCTGAGCACAGTCAAGTGTGACTAAAAATCAATAAAAAACTAAATGCCTGTAAGAAAAGGGTCATTAACATATTAAAAATGTTCAGGTTTAAAGCATAAATTCTGGGGGGCTGGAGAGACAGCACAACAGGGAGAGCGTTTGCCTTACACGCGGCCAACCCGGGTTCAATTCCCAGCATCCCATATGGTCCCCTGAGCACCGCCAGGTGTGACCCAAAAAGAAAAAATAAATAAATAAATTCTGTTTAGAAAGACAGCTCAAAGGGCAGGAGGCCAGGGTTCAAAATTCCTGGCACCGCCAGGAATGACCACTGAGCAACCAACTGTGAGTCACCCCCAAGCACTGCCAGGTAAGGCCCCGAATAAACAAAACATATTAACCTTCTATCCAATGAAATAAATTGGTAATAGCCAATCTTGGTATGAGGAAGGGGGGGGGGAAAAAAAGAAAAAATTGGGGCCAGATAGTACAGTGGGTAGGGTGTTTGCTTTGCATATGGCCAACCAAGGTTCAATCCCTGGAACCCCATATGGCCCCTGGTATCCTCCAGGAGTGATCTCTGAGCACAATCAGGAGTGCCCTGATTACCTCTGGGTGTGGCCCAGAAACAAAACAAAATGTTAAAAATAAATACTAACTAGAGTCGCTGCATGTCTGTCAGGGTCAAAAGAAACCATCCAAATGAAACTGTTTATGATCTATTCGGAAAACAACTGGATTCAACCATTATCTCTAGCAAGCATCCCCCCCACCCACAAGTGGAAACTGGCTGGTAATTTTTCAGATAAGCACTCAAATAACTAGCTTTATTAAGGCATCATATGCCCATGAACCTTATAATTCTATTCAATGTGGAGTAGTTTTATGCTTAGGTACAAGGTAAAGTACCCAAGTGATAAAAGGGGGAGATTGGGGAGACACTACAAAGGCCAGACCAGGGATAGAGCTCAGCAGTAAAGCACTATAGCCTTACATGCATAAGGCCCCGGTTCAATCCCTGGCACCACATAAAAATACAAATAAAGGGCCAGAATGAACAGCAGGCAGGGGATTTGCCTTACTCGGTGACCTGGGTTCGATCCCTGGCATTCCATATGGCCCCCGGAGCACTGACAGGAGTGATTCCTGAGTGCAGAGTCAGAAGAAAGCTTTGGGCATCGCCAAGTGTGGTCCCAAAACAAGAACAGAAAAAGAGCAACAATGAAAGGGCTGGAGAGATAGTACAGCAGGTTTTACCTTGCACACTGCAAACCTGGGTTTGATCCGACACCACATATGGTTCCCCAAGTCCCGACAGAAGTGAGCCCAGAGCACAGAGCCAGGAATAAGTTCTGAGTACAGCGAAGTATGGCCTAAATAAATTAATATCCAGAAAAGCACATATCCTGTCCTCACTCTCACTTAAGGCATACCCATTTTTATGGTCATACTAAAAACAATTTTTTTTTTTACATTTAATAAGCATATGTTGTTGTTTTTTTTTAAAAATAATAGTAACAAAATATTCTACAACTTTAATTCTCACAAAGGGCTGGGTAAATAAACTAAAAATACTTAGTCATAATAATACTATGTTAAATAAAGAAACCTATATATAACCAATATAGGAATTTTAGTAAATTAAAAAAAGGCAAAGCACAAATTCAAGTATACTGTTAGCAAGCTTACCTTTTTTAATATTGCTGCGTTAACATTTGGGAGAGGAACTGGGTCATCATCTCCTTCATCATCCATTCCTAAATCTAAGACAACCAAAAGAGAACTGCCATTATTTCCTAACTTCAAAACATTTATAGCCAGCAATTTATGCTCCAAACAAGTAACTTCCAAGAAAGGACTAAAAGACTATAAAAAGTACTCGTAAGAACATTTAAGAGTCAGCAGAGAGGGGTTGGAGCAATAGCACAGCAGGTAGGGCGTTTGCCTTGCACGAAGCCGACCCGAGTTCGATTCCCATCATTCCATATGGTCCTCTGAGCACTGCCAGGAGAGTGCATGAGCCAGGAGTAACCCCTGTGTATCAGAGTCAGCAAAGAACGGAGAACTGTAGTTAGTATTAAGTTTTCTTGGCTACCAGAAAACCAAGCGTAGAGCCAAAGCACAGTTCAAATATGCAAGTCTAAAAATATAGATTAAAAAATACAGATAAAAAACCTACAGTTTGGGGCAAGAATGATGGTATAATGGGGAAGGTGCTTGCCTTGCATGTGCTGGACCCAAGTTTGACCCCAGCTCCATATATAGTGTCCCCCCCCCCCAAGCCCCAGCTGGAGTGATTCCTGAGCACATAGTTTTTTAACTATGATAGTAGTAAGCCCTGAGTACCAATGAGTTTGGGGCTCCCTATCCCAAAAAAGAACGCATCACCTTTAGCTATACTGATTCACTCACCTTCCCTTTTCCCATCATTGCATATTTCACTGCAACCTAGAGTAAACTATTAAACAGCCATATCTCACTTTAGATTAAACTAATTCAGTTTTTCCTGAATTATATAAAATACTTTAATCAAAGAGGAGAGGAAAAAATATATTCCGCAAAAACCTTGGGAAAGATATTAGGGGGAGGGGAAAAATATTACGGAAGACCAGTTTTGATCCAAATGTTATTTGAGAAAAGGTTTGGATCAGTAACAGTATGAGTCTTTTGGTTATAAAGGATTACTTCTCTACCATTTAAACTAAGAATGCACAATTTTTCTTTTGCTTTTCAGACAGGATGTATACTTATCCTTCCAAGTTACCACATTTAACCAAATAACAGCAAATGTAATAATCTTATCCTATTTGTAAGGAACACACACACACACACACACACCCCACCTTCACAAATAGTTGCACCCGAGATTTTCCTTCATGGTGTCACAGGTCAATCCCAGGCTTCATGCATATAAGGCAAGTGCTTTATCGGCTGAGCCACATCTCTGTACCCTCACTTTAGAAATAAAATTGTCATGAAAACTGCAATGATTGTGCAGTAAATTAAGACTTGATAGTTTAAGACTTCTGAAAGACACCTGTGTCCTAATGCCACACCCCTGGTTCTGAACAAATCAATCCACAAGTTTTTCTGTCCAGATTTTCACTTGATGGTCCTAGATTAGGTTTTGTCTTTTCTATGCCCCCAGAATTATACCCAGCGATACTACAGATGTAAAACAAAGCAGTATACCGCCAATTTCAGTAAGATCCCAGTCTTTAAAACTAGAATTCTATATAAACCACTGGTTCTTAAGATAAACTCAAACACCTTTGATGCCCAGAGGCTACAGAGGAAAATAATTGTTTAACTTCTTGCTGTGTTATCAGTCCACCTGCTTCAGAGATCAAAGCTGGAATAGAAAACCTTCAAGGAGCTCTATGTTCTAATATTGGCAAATATTTCTGAAGCAGCACAGGCACCAATTAAGATGAAATAAAGAACTATTCATTGTCAAAGTAAGCAAACAAGCCGGTAAGTCTATCAGTTTCTACATCTTCTAGATAAAGCCTTACTCACCTTTAGGGAGGGCTATGTGCATCGCTTTCACACATTATTAGTGACCATATTACAGTTACTCATTCAAAAGGCACTTAATGGCAGTGAATATGGGATGTACCAACTGGATTTACAATTTAACAGACATGATCTATACGTGGAGATTTCAAGATACAGGATAAATGCCACAAGATTAGTATCAATTACAAAAATAAACTATAAATTTATCAGCAAATATATGTCACCATATTAGGAAACAGAGCAGATACTCTAACTCCACTTCAGTCTTTACTATATTTTAATGTCTGTTGTCCTCTAAACTATGAAAGCCTAAAAGGTCAGTTTGCAGAACACACATCTGTTAATCACTCTGGGTACCTCAAAACATCTTCCAGTCTCTTTCAGTGACCTCCAAAATCCCACTCCATTCTTCACTTCTGAATCTATACTCATAACCCTCATCCAAATATGGTTCCTGCTAAACTCATTCCTAGATCTATTCTTCTGCAATTCACGTAAGTCTATCTAAGCACTCTACAACTCAGGGTCTATTACCCACATATTCAAATGCCTACTAGGACCATTAAAGGATTCAAACACATGGAATATGTTAAAACTTATTTCTTTCATTCCTCTCAAACTTGTTTGCTCTACCAACTGCAATTATCCCAATATCATAAACTGCAACTAAAATCCTCAACTTTTTCTCTACCATACCCTATCGACATTATCTCAGAATATTCAAAAACACATTTGAAACATCACTTATACTGCACACTGTAGTCTTTCTACAAGCTATCTCCACATCAGTTACAACATGTCCACAGCACCACTTGGCACACAATTTTGTAATTCTCAAATTATACTATATGACAGTTTGCCTTGTTTGGTCTCTGTCCTCCTTCCTAGTTTATAAACTCTTCAAGGACAAAGATCATTTCTCACATACCTCGTCTCAACAGCCTATTGTTAGTGTTTGGCACTTAACTCTTTGATATCTATAAAACTACAGATCTTCCCTATGTAAAAATCTCTGGTATGTGAGTGCTGAGAACAGTCATATCACAACTAAGTTGTCCACCCCCACTCGCCAACTCCCCACAACTCTGAAAACTGACTTGTGCCTCGACATATTATTGTCCACCATTCCACTGGCAATACTAAAAATAAAAAAAAAAAATCAATGTAAATTGATGAACGCTTTATTGTTTCATGTCTAGTTTTACTGCCTTTTATAATTGTGCTGCAGTTTATTTTGCAGCCGTTTTGGGAGTAACAAAATAAACATAAGAACAATTTGGTTTAAAGAAAAAAAAAGGCAAGGAAGACAGTTTAATAGGCTGGAGCATATGCTTTATATACATAAGACATGGGTCCCTTGATACCACATGGCTCCCCAACCACCACTGCATGTTGCCCAAACATCAAAACCAAAGACATGAGGTCAGGGCTGGAGTGTATGCTTTGCATATGGAAGCCCAGGTTTGGTCCCCAGCACCAAATGGTCCCACAGGTACCCTTGGGAGCAACCCCTTGCACCAAGCCAGGAGTAGATTCTGTGTACATCAGAGATGACCCTTCAACAAAAGTCGACATTGGAGATTAGAAAGAAAACATTGGGGCTGAGAATGTGACTTGTAAACTACATTGCTATATATGCAGACCAGGGTTGATACATAGCACTTAACTTAACAAAGAGAAGGTATCTATTTAAATTTTACAATCTATCCAGCTTGCTCCCTTCTACTAAAACAAAGATACTCTAGCTATCATACAGCAAGATACCCCTTTTCAAAAGACTTTCCTATTTATCATTAGAAATTGTGAATCCCCAGCAACACATGATTCTCTGGGTACCACCAAGAGAGATAAAAAAGCACAGCGGGTAGGGCACTGGCTATGCACACAGCCAACTCAGGTTCGATCCCTGGCACCCCAGAGTGTCTCTTAAGCCTACCAGGAGTGATTCTTGCGTGCAGAGCCAATAGTAACCATGGAGCACCCCCAGGTGGGTCCCCAAAACAAAAAAAAAAGTGAAGGGATTAGTTTTGTAATATTGTGTACTAGGAACCCAATCAGGAATAACTCTGTAAATCAAGGTGATTCTATTAAAAAAAAAATTGCAACTTGGAGACAGAGATATAGTACAGTGAGTATGGCACATGTCTTACTCAGGAGTCAACCAAAATTGATCCCCAGCATCACATATGATTCCCCCAAATTCTGCCATAAGTGATCCCTGAGCACAGAACCAGGAGTAAGCCTCAAGCACTGCTAGGAGAAACTGTAAATCCAAAGTTACTAAAAAAGAAATGGATCAACTGAGTTGGAAAGTTGGGAATCTTCTGAACGTTTAGTTTTACTATTTACTAAAAAAAAAAAAATAATAAAATAATCTGAACAATACAGAAAGGTTGACCTTTATCAATCACAACACAACTAGCATCTTAAATGTGAACTTTGTTATGTCACTCCATGTCACGGAGCACTTTATGATGCAGTACAATTGTGATGTCCACCATTCCCTAAACTATCAATTTTCTTCCCTCTTTTCCCCGACACCAATTTTCTAATAAACTTACCTTCCAACATGGTTTTGATAGTTACAGACTGTTTGGCAATTTCCACATCAACTTCAAATATCTCTCCATCGGAACTCTGCAACTTAATAGAAGGCATCTAAAAAAAAAGATATTTCATTTGGAATTTTAAGAAAAAAAGAATTACACTATGTGCTAGAAGCCCTCTAATTTTTTAAAAATTTTATTTTTTGGGGTTTTTTTTTTTTTTTTTTTTTTTACTTTTTAGGTCACACCCAGCCATGCTCAGGGGCTACTTCTGGAATTGCTCCTAGTGGTGCTTGGGGGACCATATGAGATGCCAGGGATTGAAGCCGGGTCGGCCGTGTGCAAGGCAAACGCCCTACCCACTGTACTATCACTCCAGTTCCCAGAAGCCCTCCAATCTTAACTATAAAATTATAAGGAGGAGATGAAGAGCTCCCTCAATAGGATTAGCACATGCTTTACTTGTAGGACCCGCAGTTCTATACTGTATTCTATCCTAGCACCACAAAGCCTCCACAGCATGGAGTGGCCCAAAAAAACAAGCACAAACTGAACAAACTGAATTTCAGTATACAACCCTGTAAAAAAATTCTAATGTTTCTAAAAAATTTTTTTTCAAAGGAAGATTGGAAAAATAACTCAATGGGCTGAGAGCATAAAAAGTATGTGAGTGGCCCAGGTTTAATTCCCATCACATTTTGTGTTGTCCATTCCCAGAGCCTCAGAATCACAGGAGAAATTTCTAGGCATTTTGGATGGATGTAGCCCAAAATACAAATTTTTTTTTTTTTTTTTTTTTTTTTTTGCTTTTTGGGTCACAGCTCGCAATGCAAAGGGGTTATTCCTGGTTCATGAACTCAGGAATTACTCCTGGCCGTGCTTGGGGGACCATAAGTGATGCTGGAAATTGAACCCGGGTCGGGCCACATGCAAGGCAAACACCCTACCTGCTGTGCTATCACTCCAGCCCCTAAAATATAATTTTTTAATTTTAATTATAAGATTTCCAGCTATGATGGTCACTGTCACTGTCCTCCCGTTGTTCATCGATTTGCTCTAACGGGCCCAGTAACGTCTCCATCGTGAGACTCATTGTTACTGTGTTTGGCATATCGAATACGTCACGGGGAGCTTGCCAGGCTCTGCCATGCGGGCGAGATACTCTCGGTAGCTTGCCAGGCTCTCCGAGATGGGCGGGAGAGGGGCGGAGGAATCGAACTCGGGTCAGCCATGTTGGCTGCTTGCAAGGCAAACGCCTTACCCGCTGTGCTATCACTCCAGCCCCTAAAATAGGTAAAGGCCCTCCCGTTGATCGTCGATTTGCTCGAGCGGGCCCAGTAACGTCTCCATTGGAGACTTTGTTGTTACTGTGTCTGGCATATCGAGTACTCTCGGTAGCTTGCCGGGCTCTCCGAGCCCCTAAAATATAATTTTTAAATTTTAATTATAAGATTTCCAGCATTCTATTTTTTTTTGGTGATTTTATATGACTATATTTTAACTTTCAATTCCTTTTTCAAATGAAAGATATAAAAGGTATTTGGTGTTTTTTAAAAAGGATTTTTTGGCCATATTCAGCAATGCTCAGGGGTGTTCCTCGAAGTTCTGGGGATTCAACCTGGTCCTTCAACATGTAAAGTGTACACACCTGTCCACTGAGTTCTCTCTGAACCCCTATCTGTAAGGTTTTTTGCCAGTAATGTACTATAGTTTTAAATATAAAATATTTTGCTGCTCTGCCAAAGTTTTGTTATTAAATGATTTCTCATCTGAACTTTTCTATCAGGACTGGGAAGAAATAGACATGGTCAAAGCAATAGTATAGTGGATAGGGTGCTTGCCTTGCATGCAGCTGACCCTGGTTCAAACCCTGGCACCCCATGTGCTCCTCTGAACACAACCAGTATAATTAGCCCTGAGTATAGCCATGTGTGACTGCCTACCTGTCCACCTCCACCCCTCACATTCATTAAAGTATTCCTACTGCCTTTACTCAAAGTATATGTGGGGCAGAGATAGTACAGGGATTAAAATATACTCTTAGTGGGTGAATATTTTAAATGTCAAGTTTTACTCTTTGAAATTAATAGTCACATCAGAGGGTTGATCTTTCACGAGGCTGACCCTTCACATATGCCATGCCCCCACCCATTACCACCAGGAGTGATCCTTAAGCAGAGCCAGGAGTAAGCCCTGAGCAGAACCAGGTGTGGCCCCTTAAACAAAAAAATTGTGTTTCGTATTTTTTGTGATTCTAGAGCTAGGTTTACTCTACTAAGTTCACTCAATAATGGTCTAAATTTAAGCTATATGTTTACCTGAAAGTATTATCTATTAAGACTTATTTTCTACCTGCCTTTCTGCTTTTACTCAATCGTGACTACTCCATTTAACTAGTTAAATGCCGCATAACTGCCTCCAAATGTGAGAGCAGGTGGAACAAAACTATCGCATAAGATAATCACTGTTCCAGAGTGAGACCTACAAGTGAAAAATAGGTTCAGATTCAAAGAACTGAATCAAAATTTATCTGTCTGGGTTAATGCAAAAACCATATAATACTAGGGAATTAAAAAAGTATTTAAGAGATCGATGTAATTACCTAAGCCAAATAAATAACCTAAATTCAGTGATTTTATTTTCTATTATGAACTGTCCAGGTTTGAAATCTACTAAAAATTCCTATAGTAATAACTTGTTGCCCCCCCAAATGTATAACCTTATGAACTGTGAGACACCAGGAAAAAAGACACTTGGCAATTAATGAGTTAACTAACAAACTTTTAAAGGACAAATTCTAGTATATATTATTTTTAACTAAAATTTCTAAGCTCTGGGGGTGGAGTGATAGCACAGCAGTTAAGGCGTTTGCCTTGCACGCGACAGACCTGGGTTCGATTCCCAGCATCCCATATAGTCCCCTGAGCACTGCCAAGAGTAATTCCTAAGTGAAGAGCCAGGAGTAACGGAGTAACGCCTGTGCATCGCTGGGTGTGACCCAAAAAGAAAAAAAAAAAAAGAAAAAAAATTTCTAAGCTCATAATTTCTTACTATCTTCAAGCCACCACACCAATTATTTAAATATGAGAATTCAAGACCTCTTTGTTTCAAATAATACAGCTTTGAAGGCCCAAGCTTCTGATATACTTATAATTCGGTAATGTGGCTATTTGAAAGCGTGGATTTCAATATTTAAAACATTCACTGCACCCACTTTAGGTTCAAAGCCTTAAAATCCATTAAGTTGATTAAAAATGTTTATTCAGTTAAAAATTTCTCAAAGCAATTGTCAATATTGTCCATACTGTTATGGAAGCCAAGAAGCCAAGATAGACAGAATCAGAAAAAAATGGCTCCAAGGACTGAGTGCAAGCTTCTTGGGCAGGATTCCTGGCACTGCAAGGTTCCCAGCACTGCCAGGAGCTGAGTGATTCTGAGCATGCTTGGGTGTGGACCCCCCACCCCCACTTCTCTCCAAAACAAACAGATCGGAAACAGACTACTTTAAAAGCCAGACACTGAAATCAACTGCTCTCACTCAGATGGAGAGAATTCTACTTCACTCTTCAGTTCACAAATATGACAACTTCTGCACCAGGCTTAATGCCTATCAATAATGAAGCTGGAGAAGTACCCTCCTCTGTGACAAGGCAACAACAAAAGTTATCTCTGAAAAAAGCATCTTAACATGATTCCAATTTGTAATCGCAAAATACTCTGTTTTTGCTTATATCCCATAGTACTGGAAAGAACGTAACAGTCTACTAGTCTGGCAGTGTGGTTAATCACTTAGCAGCAAACCCCCTATTTCATATTTCTTTCAAAGAACTCTTGAAAAACAGCAAGACCTGCTTAGTCATAGTCAAACTGATGGATTAGGTTACCCTTAAGGGAGCTGAAATCTAATTAAAAGGCAGGAAGGCAATCGGTTAATCTGTAATTCAATGCACCTCGTAATCCTAGACTTAATTCTTAAAAAAGAAAAAGAAAAAGAATAAAGTATGATACACTAAGGAGTATTTCTTAAAGTGTCAGACAACTAGTGCAAAATTTTCACATAATGGATGAAAGTGCGATTTCCCGTTTTCAAGTCCATTCGTTATCCTATACTTTGGTATTAACCCTCCTCCATGGCCGGCAGGCAGTGGGTGAGATTACGTCATTACAAAAAAAAAAACAAAAAACAAAAACAACCCCAAAAAACCCGTTTTGTTTTTGTTTTTTTAAGTGACCTGAAATTCTGCCACCTCTTTGGAAAGCGAGCAGGGGGAAAGGGGGAATTCGCACAGCTCTGACACGGATCCATTCCTTTGTTGCGTCCTGAAGGAAAAACATGCATGACCCAAAAAATAAAACGCCAACGCCGGCTCCCATTAGGCAAGGGGAGCCGGAGCAGGTGAAACGTGCAGGCCCTTCTGATGGCCAGCCTCGCCGGGGGAGTCTCCGGCCTTGCGGACTCCCAGGAGGCGCCCCCCCACCCCGATGACACCGAGCGGAGCGCGGTGGTGCCCGCAGGGCCCGGCAACGCGAGGGCGCGCGGCGGCTCTCCGCAGGGCTCGGGCCTCGGAGTCAGACACTAGACACCGAGGGCGTCGGGGGAGCGCAGGACCGAGACGTCGGGGCCTCCCACTGCCCAGCTCCCTCCAAACACCCCCCAAATGCGCTCCCCGCCCACGTCAGTCACAAAACCTCCTTTAAGCCCCCCCACCCCCACCCCCTGCCGAGGCCTTGCAGGCAGGGAAGAGTCAACTCCGACGAGGGACGCTCCCGCCTCCCGCTCGGGCGCCCACGGGGCGTCGCGGGGCCGCGCGGCCCGAAGACGCCCCCGCCGAGTCGAGGGGGTGGGGGTGCAGAGAATGGGACGGCAACGGGTTCCAGCGGGCCTGCGGGCGAGCCAGGCCCAGGTGCCGCCCGCCTCAGGCGGGCCCCGGCCGCAAGGGGCGGCCATCCAGCCCGCTCCCTGCGGCGGCGCCGCCCTTCCCGGGTGGGTCAGCGGATACTCACGACGTTCGGTCAGGAGACGGTGGGCTGGAGGTTGACGAGAACCGAGCCGCGTCAGCAAAGGGGAGAGAAAGGCGGAGAACAAGGCCACTACAGAGGCGCGCAGCGGCGGCGGCCTTTATAGCAGCGGGCGCGGGCGCTGAGGACCCCCCGCGGCGTCACCGGGCCGCCGGGGCTGGTCGCCGAGATCGCCTGACGGGAGGCGCGGAAGGCCGGGCGGGCCCAGCGCGCCCACCGGCCCGAGCGCGGTGCGGAGGTGACCGGCGCCGTGCGGGGAGCTGACGCTCCGTCTCGCGGCCTCGAAGACGGGCTCGCGCGCTTCAAACCCGACACGGGGGCCCGGGAGGGCGTTCGGCGACCCGCAAGGGTCCTTCAGGCAGGGGCTGTCCTAGGCGGAAGAGAAAGACCCCTGGTCCTGAAAAGCCTAGAAACGACGAGCGTGTGGGCGGGGTGAGCAGGGCGGTGTTTGGGAGGGGCCGAGGCTCCCGGTTGCAGCGCAAACGGCAGCGGGGTGGGACGTATGGCTGCGGTGCCTCGCACTCCCCGACGTGACCCTCGGGGCTTCGTGCCCCAACGCTCAGCCTCGCCCACCTCAGCTCACTCTCCACCGCCACTCATTTCTCCTCAGTGTGTTGAGGGGTCGGGTATGCGTCAGACCTGGGGCGGGAGCGACGGAGGCTCCTCAAGGCCCTAATTTCCCACCATTGAGTTCTGGAGGGGCTCGCAGGCCCCGAAAACAATTATCGCTGTGGTGTACCCCCAGAGTAGAGAGCGTAGATTAATTCAGTAGACAACGCGGGGAGTTTTAATGTGGGCGGGTGGTGGGATTCCGCAGTGAACAAAGCCGCCAGGATCCCACCGAGACAGATGTCTGCCGTGCGGGAATCACGCTCTCCACAAAGGCTCTGACACTGTCCTGAGATGGAGTCACCCCGAAAAGAAATGGGGACAGTCCCTGCCTCAGCCAGGGCGCCCGCAACTGCCCGGGCTGACCCTGCCCTGCTTGGGGAGCGCGGGCACCCATCCCCTTAGAGACGCAGGCGCCAGGCTCACCTAACCCGCGGGCACGTGATGGTGGCCCTGACGCCAAGGAAACAAAAGACGTTTCACTCCTGGGGCTCCCGAGAGAAATCAGAGGCCTGCGGCTCCGGGAGGAGCCCGGCTGGGTGGCCAAACAGCGTCTCCGGTTTCCAGGCCTTTGTCCGCAGGCTGTGGGAGCCAGTGTGTGCCCGGTGCCACGCTGCTGCCCCCAATTGATAGGACGTCACAGAGCTGTCCCAGCAAGCAGGGGCTCCCCAGATTGGCCGAATTCTACTCCCCAGCTGTCCATGGCACACCAGGTGGCAGCTTGTTAGCCTGCCTTAAGCATCCTAGCAGGACTGGGCAGTGCCAGGTCCCCATGCAGCTGAACACCCCCAGCACAGGACCTGACAGAAAAGTAGGCGATTTTCAAAATGTGTCTGGGGATGCTTCTTTTTCAGATGCAGATTCCAGGCCAGAAAGATAGCACAGCAGGTAGGGACCTTGCCTTGCACTCCCAGCACCCCATATGGTCCCCAGAGGCTGCCAGAAGCTCTGAGCACAGCCAGTGTGGTTAAAAAAGAAAGAAAGAAAAAAAAGTTAGATGCTTGTGTGCACAGAATAGAAGAAGGACAAATACATTTACCTGAAATTGCCTCCGAAGATGGGAAACTAGGTGACTGGCAATGCTAGAATGATTTTTAACCTTATGCCTTTTTTTTTTCTGCCTTCTGGATTTTAGTTCATCAGTATGTTACATACTCATTTTTTTTCCCCTTCAGCGCCGCAGAAAGTGTCACTTAATCACTTAACTTCCCGTTAGTCGTCGATTTGCTCGAGCGGGCGCCAGTAACGTCTCCGTTTGTCCCTGTGTAGCCCAATGACATCTGTTCGCTCTGGGAACATGAAGAGCCTCAAACCGATGGTTCATGATCTTGACGAAGAAGTCTGACCATCTGGTAGGTGGGCGGCCACGCAGAAAGTGTATTAAGGGATTAAGGCACTTGCCCGCATGTGGCTTATCTCAGTTTGAGTCCCCCAACACGACCATGAAGGAGGACTGACTCCTGAGCGGTATGAGGTATGAGACCCCACTCCCCACCCCCCCAGCCAGCACCGTATCAAGGCGAGTGGCTCTTAGCTAGGTGTCACCACCGAGTACCACAGGGTGTGGTCAAGAAACAAAACCAGACCTTTTTATCATATGGAGGAAAATGCAGGTTCCCAGGCTTGATGAATCACTCCCTGGGGGGGAGGTCCTCCTGCCTTTTAAACAAGTTCTCAGCAGCAACAATAAGAGTTATTTAGGCAATTCTTTTTACTTTGTTTTCTTGTTATAGGAGCCACACCCAGGGGTGCTGAGTGCCATGAGAGCATATGGGAGTGGGTAAGGTCTTGCCATGTCAGGATTTGAACCCTCAGAATTCAGGTTCTTGACCACTTGAGTCACAGCCTCAACCCATTCTAGATGATTTTAATTAAGCTCCAGAACATCTGAACTAGGTACTGGGTGATGAAGCATTTAGGGGCCAAAATGTCTGTCAAAGAAATGCAGTTAGCTACATATTTTCTCAACCAAACCCACCTGAGGAGGCTCAAGTATTTGCAGCACTGTGGTTTGCAGACTGACTCATTCCCACTCTATGGTGTGTGTGGGGAAAGGGGGAAGAAGAGAATGTGTGTGTGTAAAAGAAACTATTTCATTGTTACACACCATTATACCTCAACAGGGTTTTGGGGGGGGATTTTTGTTTTGTTTTTTGGGGCGTGAGCACAGCCAGCACTGCTCATAGCTAATTCCTGGCTCTGTGTTTAGGGGTCACTCTTTGTAGTGCTGGGGGACCCTTTGCAGTACTGGAGGTTGAGTCAGGGTTGGCTGCACCCAAACAAGTCCCTTAACCCCTGTACTTTCTGTCCCATTGAGTGTAGGGGTTTTGTGTTTTTTGTTTGGGTTATGGTTTGGTTTGGTTGCTTTTTGGGCCACATCCAGTGATACTAAGAGGTTACTCCTGACTGCACTCAGTAATTACTCCTGGTGGTGCAGAGGGGAACCAGATGGAGTGCTGGGGATTAAATCCAGGTTTGCTGCATGCAGGCAAGCACCCTACCCATTTTACTATCTCTCCAGCCCCAAGTGTAGGTATTTCATCTCTCAATAACCAGAAACATTTTGTTCCCTAGAATACTACTTCTAAGGAAATGAAAAGCTTCAGGTTCAATTCATCCATGTGGGAAAATGTAGCCTTTATGGTGAATTCATTACCAAAGATTATCTCCCTTTATAGAGTTTCATTGCAACAGAGGTTCACAGGAGGATTCCTTTGAGGACCAAACTTCCCAGTGCACCTAAAAGTAAGGAGGGGGGAGCCTTGCTGCTCTGGCATCTAGTTTTGTTGGTATAATGAAGCTCCTGAAATCCCAGACAATGTGAGAGATTGGCTTTGGGGCCTATACCCTTTGACCACTGATAATATCTGAATGAACTTGAGCTTCAATTGGGAACATTTTGCTTTCAGTTTGGCTGATGAGAATATGCAGAACTTTGATCTAAGGGCACTTTAGCCAAAGATGTAGTCAATAGACACCCCATCCCCCTTACACAGTGAACCTTCTCACACCAGTTTCCAATGTTACCATCACAAGAGCTGCTTGAAGGCAGCTGACACTGGACTCCACCTGCTCTTCCTTTTCCTACCTGATTTCCTTTTCCTTGCTTAGTTCACTCACAATTCCATTCTCTGTCACATCCAGGTTTCCACTAGAAGTTACCCTCTGTTCTGTAAAGTTCTGTACATTGTTCCTAAGCTTCTGTAGGGCATGCTTTCTATTCTCGTCCTGAACAATAACCTAATATTTAACACATATATAAATTTTGCACCAAAAGAAAAAAAATCTGCCCAGTCAGATTCCCCTTTCAGGCACTTATAGCCATGGGACAGACTTTGGGTTCTAGTTGTGTGTTCCGGCCTATAGGACAGCATATAGGCCAAGAAATAACTTAGTCCTCATGATCAGAGTTAGGCTCTGCTGCTGTGTTAACCAGTCTTGCTCCTCTGACGAGGTGGTAAGTCCAGGAGCACTCTTATGTAGTCTTGAGCAAGTTACTTCACTTCATTGACCTTAAACTTCTGCTTAGCCTCATCTTCCTTTTTTTCCAAAGTCCAGGTTTTTTTTTTAATCTAAAATTAGATTGCTTTATTATCCAGAAGATCAATTCTTGAATGTGAAGGAGTCAAGAGCCAAGAATGTAGCTCATTGGTAAAGTGTATACCTTGCATACATGAAGCCTCAAGTTTGATTCCCAATACCACCACACACACCCCCAAAAAATGGGTGTGGAGGAACAGGTCAGGGGCTTACAGCAGATGCCTTGTGAGCACACAGTCACAAGTTAAAATCTTCAGTGTCCCACATGCACCACCCATGATCTTGGAAGCTCTGCTTATCTGTGATCCCAGTGCTGCAGGTGATTTCCAGCCACACTGCAGTCATGTGTGTGTGTAAGCTAAAAAAGGTGTATACTGGGCCAGAGATAGTATGGCAGGTAAGGGTTTTGCCTTGAGTTCCAATTAGAATCGCCAGCATCACAAATAGTCCCCTGAGCACCGCTTCATTTCAAGAGCTTCATTATACCAACACTGGATGCCAGAGCAGCAAGGTTCCCATTTAAATTTTTTTAAAGTTGTTTTTAAGGGAGCTGGATCGATAGCACAGCAGGTAGGGCGTTTGCCTTGCATGCGGCCAACCCGGGTTCGATTCCCAACATCCCATATGGTCCCCTGAGCACTGCCAGGAAAAATTCCTGAGTGCATGAGCCAGGAGTAACCCCTGTACATCACTGGGTGTGACCCAAAAAAGCAAAAAAAAAAAAAAAAAGATAATTAAAAAAATTTTTTAACCACACCCTGTGATGCTCAGGTTTTACTCTACACTCTGCACTCAAGAATTACTCCTGGTGGTGCTCAGGGGGACCATATGGGATGCCAGGGGATCAAACCCTAGTCAACTACATGCAAGTACCCTACCCATTCTATTATCTTTCCAGTTTGGCCCTAAAAATGTTGAGGGCCGGAGACATAGTACAAGAATTAATGCACTTGTCTTGCATGTGGTCAACTCTGGCTTGCTCC